CGGTTGGACTGACTTGAGGAAGTCACAGGCTTTCATTTAAAACAGTGGTCTCCGACCTTGGGCCTCCACATGTTCTTGGACTTCAACTCCCAGAAATCCTGGCCAGCAGAGGTGGTGGTGAAGGCTTCTGGGAGTTGCAGTCTAAGAACATCTGGAGGCCCAAGACTGGGGACCACTGATTTAAAAGACCTGAAGGCCTCCTATGATAAGGACCTCTGGAGGTCAGAGAGTTGCTTTAAGTTGGAAACGTTGTGACAGCAAATAATAACAATGTTTTTTTTTTCTGTATTTGGATCCTAAGCTAGTTTGTTCCTAAGTTCTTAGAGCTAAGGCAATCCTGCTGTGTATTTGAAGTGGTTGTACATAGTTCCTGAAGTGGTTCAAGGGATCCTAGAATGGGCCCCTCAGCGCTCATGATCCCTTAATTTCTCCCTGAGGAATACTGGCATTGAGACTGGCTTTATTTCAGGGAAGAATTCATGCCTTTTATACATATTGGCAGCCAGGCATGAGTGTAGCAATGTTTAGTCCTACATGGAGAAGCTTGGAGAAGTTACTTTTTGGTAGCTAGGTAGGTTCCTTCTGGCCAGCTTGGACAGTGGCCAAGCTAATAGGTAATTTTGTAGTTAAAAAAAAACCACCCTGGATTTTTCTACGTTCTGGCGCCTTTTCCCACTATGGTTCTGCTGGGCTGTAGCATAATTGGTGGACCACTCTTCTGCATATGTAGGTGAAGAATTTGGCGTCTATATTGGAATAATTCCTTTGTTTGGAAAGTTTCATGAACACATGAAAAAAGAATTGCTGGCATGGCTGAGAGCAATTTATGCAACTCTTCAGAGGAAAGCTTATTGCAGGTTTTAGTTAGATCTTGTTGCAGGGCTTGTGCAGACGAATAGCACCTGTTTAATCCCTGCCTTTTTTTAGGTTTCCACAATGAATTCCTTAATTTAATATGCATTGTTCATTACTATTCCCTGGCAATTTTCCTTCATGGGCTCTTGTGCTAGGCAACGCGCTGTTAATTGTGCAATTGATGTTTCAGTGTGCTTCCTTTGAATCCAGACAGAAAAGGGCCATTTTTAAACTCTACCAACCAATTCTAGCCACATTTGCTTAGAAGTAAAAGCCACTTCTCTGTGTTTAGAACTGAAGCTAACTTTCCCTCACTCTCCCTGTATGGACATATGTACATATATGTATGAGAGACAGCTCTTCACTGTGATAGTATCACAGTTGTTAGATTTATAGTGACACAGCAGGTAGACTTTTCACAGATATTTTATCTATCATGAAACATTCCCCAGTGATTATTGGAAGTGATATCCTTAATAGGTGAAATACAAAATGATGAGAAAGGACCTAGAAGTTCATTAGTGCCTTCTAATAATTCGTAAGTTTTTTGGCCCGTCACGTGACAAGTGAAAAGCAGGGACCCTCTTGGATTGGGTCAGAGACCTGTTTAGACCTGTTTTGCGTTCTCAAGTAGCCAATTGGATGCTTATGAGATGCCTACAAGCAAGATGTGAACATGAATAATGACTTTCTGTCCAAGAAGTGGCAATGAGAGGCACACTGCTTGTGATTCTAAGGGTGACCTATAGCTATCACTATTTATCTTTATCCTCTTTGAATGTGTCTAATCATCTTCCAAAACCATCCAAATTGGTAGGCGTTATTACATCTTGTGGAGTAAGTTCCATAAGAAGTAGTTGCTTTTGTTCATCCCTCTCTCTCTCACACAGCCCAGGGGTTCTTTTGTTACATGAGACAGCAAAAGCCTTTTCTGTAGCACTTTTCCCATGTCATGGCCAGAATCCAAATCCTATTGCCTGTTTACATTTGTATAAGGTAAATCATACAAGTCTGGGCAGCCAATGGGCATTGATTAGCAAGAAGCTGAGTTGAAATCCTGGGATTTAACCCACACCTTGATTAAAAAAACATGTAACTAAGACTTAGGTGACTTGCCTCACATCAGCAGCAGGATTCTGGCACATGCCTTAATTTTATCTCTCAGGCTTCACATGACTTCTGCTTTCCCGCCACCCCGAGGGAACTAGTTTAATCTTTCCTCACTAAAGAGTTGCTCTAGTCCTTGGATAATCTAAATTGCATTTTCACACAGTTCTTACAATTCTACAGTTTCTTTCTTGAAATGAAACACATAGAACAGTGCTTGGTTCAGACTTAGAGAAGTAAAGAAGGCTGCAGTCCTTTGGATCTAACTTCGGAAGAAATCAGCACAGAACTGTACTGTACAGGTTACAGAATTCTGAGTTCTGTGACCAGATGATGAATGAATGTGAATTATAACTTGGGAGACAAGACATATAGGCCTTAATGTCTCCCTGGGAGCCTGGGACAGGACAGTTACCAGTCCTCCATTCATTTTTTTAAAATGATCCAGGGGTATAAATGATAAGATAGAAATTTCTTAATTGCCTACTAGTCCCTCTAGTCCCTGTATAGTGAACACTCTCTGGGATTTTAGGCAGGACATTTTGCAATCCAGGACCCTCTCCATGCAAGCCATTTATTCTACCACTGAGCTGTGCCTACTGTATATAAAAGGTTGGGTGAGGACAACTGGTTGATCAATTGTCATCTCAGTGTTTCTTCTTACAGGCTGTAGATTACACTGGGAACTCACAATTCCCTTATTTCAAAAAGTGTGTGGACAATTCAGATCATTCTCATAGATGCGCTGACCTTTAATTAAAAGAACCAGTTACAGTTTCTGGTTTCTCCCAAAAGTCAAAGTGTCTGCCTTGGTGCAGAAAAAGAACACTTAAACAAACTCAGTATGAGAGAAAAACATTGCTGCATTTGGTAGCGGAATTTTTGTTTTGTGTTTGAAAAAAACACACCTTCATACTTGACCTAGTTCTACTGATCATCAGTACAGATAGCTTGCAGGATTATGCAGTGCCTTGTAATAGATATACATAGATCCAAACTTGGGAAATTCCTGCAGAGTAAGTCCATTTGTTGCAATGGTTTGTTTTTTAAGCAAGCCACATAGGTTTTCCTTCCTCTGTATACTAGTTAGGATGAAAGTGGCTTAGGCCAATAACACTTTGGCATATTTTCTTGCTTTTACAGAAACACAGGAAAGGCTGCCGCTTTCCTGCACATAAAACATCATTTTCCAGGCTGCACCCATTCTGCCCTCTTCAGAATGTCATCTTGGACAGGAAAAGCAGCTGTTTAAACAATAGTGGACTTAGTCAGACAGGAGGACTGGGTCAGAGTAGGTGCTGTGTCCCTATCAACAGCACTGAACAAGTCGTTCTAACAAATGCCATCTCTTATACCAAGTCTTGACTGCTCTTTCCAGATAGGATCAGTGTAGATAATGATGAAGATAAGTGACTGGCAGCCATATGCCTTTACAGAGTGAGATCTCTCAAGATGTTTGAAATCCCAAATAGCCACCCTAATTTCCTGCATGGTTTCATTATTGTGAATTTAAAGCACTAACCTTTTCTTGCTCAGGGGTTTAAAATTATTAATCTCTGTTTCTTTTTTTTATAACATAAAGGTCTAGTAATATATTATATGAGATACCCAGTGTGGTGCAGTGCAGCCATTCTCAGTGGGGAGCCATATGGGCCCCCTCAGTGTGTGTGGCAGATTTGAAGGGCCCCACAGACTGGATGTGGTGGCGCTGTGGGCTAAACCACAGAAGCCTGTGCTGCAGGGTCAGAAGACCAGCAGTCATAAGATCGAATCCACGTGACGGAATGAGCTCCCATCACTTTGTCCCAGCTCCTTGCCAGCCTAGCAGTTCGAAAGCATGTAAATGCGAGTAGATAAATAGATACCATCTTGGTGGGAAGGTAAAACGGCGTTCCCTAGTCACGCTGCCCATGTGACAACGGAAACTGTCTTCGGACAAGCGCTGGCCCTACGGCTTGAAAAACGGGATGAGCATCACCTCCTAGAGTCGGACATGACTAGACTAAAAATGTCAAGGTGAACCTTTACCTTTACAGACTGGAAACAATTCTTCACACAGCCTCTTATAAGATTCGCCATACAATTTATACAATCCTGATTCAGCCTGTATTTTTTTCACATTGTGTTTAGGGCAGCAGCCAAAAAAGAGGTTGAGAATGGTGGCTGTAGAGGATAGAATGATGGAGTAGGACTCAGGAAGCTTGGGTTTGAGTTTCTGCACAACCATGGAATCTCACCTGAGATGTGGAACTGGTATAACCCCTCCTTAAATATCTCACTTCAACTTGAAAGCCCTATTAGGATTACTGTGAGTTGGTTCTGACTTGACTGCACCTAACAAGAACAATATGTTTCTAAGACATATTGAAGCTGGTCAAACAGCAATCTTGCAAATGTGACCACCCAAATGTATTGGCCTACACAAATTAAGGCCTTGGGGATGTCTATGCCTGACCCTTAGTCACTTATTTGTAGCTTGAAAGAAGACCAATCCTGTTCCAGCTTCCCAAAATCTTCCATTCCTAAAAATATAATCTTCCATGACTGTGGCAGTTAAATGGCAATCAAAAGACTTACACAGAAGCCAAACATATATGAGAGAGAAATAACTATGAAATGTTTTTGTTTGTTTGTTTTGAGTTGTATGTAATTTTGTTATTCTAATGGATTTTTTAAAATTGGAATGTGTCTGTATTTACATATATGTTTGCCCAGCATTCTAGACAAGAACTATTACTGGGTCCTTTGCACGATTGCCAAGAGGAGAGTTCTACTATGTTTGTTTCCTCATCGTATGTCCCAGGAGGAGAGCCAGCCCGTGTAGCCTTGGGCAAGCTGCACAGCCCTGGAGCACCCTCAGAAGGGACATGGGGAACCACTCCGAAGACCCTTTGCCCATTTTTGCTATTCTCTTCATTGGGGCTATCTCTCAAGGAAGTGCCAATTAGATTGTGGCTTTCTAGATTTGCCTTTTCTTTGCTCAGTGCTGTGTTCAAAGAAATATCCCATAATGCTTTTCTCATGTGTTTTCCTTCCAGTTAGTCAGCTTGCTGCTGATTGGAATTGCAGCATGGGGCATTGGCTTTGGCCTTATCTCCAGCTTTCGGGTCGTCGGAGTAGCAGTTGCGGTGGGGATATTTCTGTTCCTGATTGCCCTGGTGGGATTGATTGGAGCCATCAAACACCATCAAGTGTTGCTCTTCTTTGTATCCTTTGTAACCCTAACCCTGTGAACTTTGTAGTGCACAAGCACCCTTTTCTCCAGACCCTGCTTCAAACAGAGCACCTCTGTCCCCTTCACCTGTGTTCCTTATTCCCTGTCGCAGATCTAAATAAGTGGAGAAGTTTCTTACCATGAGGTCATCTCAAGTACAAGGAGCTTTTTACAAGCTTGATCTCTGCTCCAGTTATGACACTGTTAAAAGCCACATGGAAGAGCAAACATTTCTCCTTCTATAATTGGTCACGAGACTGCAGTGGTAGAACTGGTTTTCATGAAATCATTGCAGATCATGAGTCCAGTGTGCTGGTTTATTTTTTTTTGTGTGTGTGTGAGGACTTAGACACTTCCCCAAGAAAGTTTACGTGTTCCACCTACTACAGTAATACCGATTTCTCCCAGAAATTAAAGTTTCGGGGTTTACTCCCATCCACATGCATCAAAAATCCAGCAGGAAGGTTTTTGTCTTGTGTACAGAAACCCATCGGCTCCTTCCTAGGTGTTCAAACAGCTCTCTTGTGTTTCTCCTCTTCCTTTTAACTATGGGCAGAGAACAAAGAGGCTTTATTTGGGGAAAAGCATGGTTAGGCTATGGCATGATTTGATCATTGCTACAGACATTTTGCACATACTTTTCCTGGATGGGGGCCACAATTTGCTTCTGTATCTATTTTCATTTATTCATTGTGGTGATTCATTGTCTATCCTCCACTAACCTGAGGGCAGCATTCATGGTGGTTCTCCTTCCCTGCTTTACCTTTTCCACAACAACACCACGATATAGGTGAAGTGTCTAAGAGAAAGAGAATGAATGGCCCAAGTGAGCTGCTGAGCTCAATGGGGGACTACTGTCTGGGTCTCCTAAGTCACAGTGCAGCCCTCTTAATCGCTGTAGCAAAGGAAAGCGTGCTGCTTATATACCATCCCATAGTTCTTAAAGCTCTCTCTGCATGATTTACAATTTAATTATGCAGGCTACGCAGATCCCATTCCCCTGCCAGCTAGGTACTCAGTGGATCGAAAGATGGAAGGCTGAATCAACTTTGAGCTGGGTACCTGAGCCCAGGATCAAATTTGGCTCATTAGCAGAGTCTGGACTGCAGTACTGCAGTTTAACCACTGCACCACTCCATCACATTTGCTTTCTTTTATGGAGTCCAGATCAGTTGTTTCTTCTACTACTTCTCATGCTACTGTAGAAAACACAATTTTCCAAGTTTACAAGAGAGCAATCAAGAGGTGGCTGCGTTCTTAGAATTAAAACTGAGGGCACGTAGGAGCTTTTAGTTTTTTAAATTGTTTTGAATATTGAGAAGAGGGGCTTCGGGAGCTCTGGATGTTGATATCTGACTTGCAAACCACACAGTGCCCACCTTGATGTAAAAGTTATGAACTCAACTCTATTTACAATCAAAGTGACATCCTGAATTCTTTTTAACTAAAAAGAAATAATTCATCTGGGGCCCAGTGCTGAAATATGGCCATTTAAGCTTATTTGTATTTTAAGTCACAGTAAGCATGTGACATTAAATTGTAACATTAAATGTTACAGTGTTCTGTTGCAGATTCCACTTTTGGAGTCCAAAAGGCTTTAAAATTGTGGATTTACTTTTCGTTTACAGTGTGTAAGTTGGAGGTTTAAAATCAGCTTAAAAGTGGGAAGGGAAGGTTTTGCCATGGAAAATGACATGTGTCCTTTTGGTGAGTCCTGCATATATTGAGAATGGGGCAAATCTTTGGGTGAATCTCATAGGGAAAGCTTGCACATAGTGCAAAACACATTTCTATGCAGACTGTTGTCCTGTGAATATGTAGCAGTGAAGGGACTTTTTGGATTTCAGCTCCCATCGGCCCTAGATAGCATGGGCAGTGGCAAGGGGTTTGGGGAATTGTATTCCAAGAAGACCAAAGGTTCGATGCCCCAGTATAGAACTACACCCTGTACATAAAGTCTTGGGAGTTCACCTGTCAAGCAGCCATAACAACAGTGAATGTATATCCACCCTTATATTCACTAGTGCTGTCAAAACATTAGCGGTCCTATTCCACAATCATTTTGAGATTCCAGAATTCTGTAAAAATTTGACTTCAGTTTTTATTTTTAGTTGATGTACAGACCTCAGCATTCTCAGATTACCGAGACTTGTACGAACCCACCTGCTCAGAAAAACATCTGTTCCCCAAACACATTGCCGACTGTTTCCATGGATTCGGTTGCATTCTGTTAAATATTAATCCAAACGATGGGCATTAAAAACTGGCAGTGGATGTATCATAGGGAGTTATATATAGAAATGCTTTTTCCTTTACCCAGTAAAATTCATTTTGTATTTACAAATAGAATACCACCTTAGCCCAAGTGTTAAATAAGAACTCTCTGCATTTGGGTTGAGTAAGTTCAGTGTTGTCCCTGTCTGCTTAGAAGAAATTTCCATTTAGGACAGGGGAAGTTTCCCTCTCCCCAATAATTTTGGATAGCAAGGAACATTTGTGGAGGTCAGGGAAGGATTTTGACCCTCCCGGGGATGCCAACTTTGGCCCTGCCAAATATGCTTTTCCTCCTCTTCAGAACAGGAAGTTTGCATTTCTTTGGAGGGGAAAATGGGAAAGTTCATTTTACACCGAAGTCGGATCCTGGGTTTTGGGGTTACCCAGTGTGATGTAGTGGATAGAGTGATAGTCTAGGACTCAGGAGACCTGGGTTTGAATCTGTACTCAGCCATGGAGGCTCAAGGGCTGAGAGGAGGATGGCAGTGGGGAAAAAAAACATCCCATACACATCTTACTAAGCCCTATTAGTATTGCTATAAGACACTCCTGACTTGATGGCACACAGCACATGTCAAGATCCTGTGCTTTACTTTAGAAGGGAATTGCTACTCTTGGAGTCAGTAGCAACAGCTATATTGTGGCTAATATAAATTTTATATGGGGCATGTCTGGAAGTTGCAAAAATGGGTGGGAGCCACTGTGATCCATTAGCACCCATTATGCTGCTGATGTTCCCACATTTTGAGAATTCACAGGGTCAGAGTGCAATGGATAAGACTCACTCTGCATCACCTGGTTGCATAGCATTGTGCCCCCAGCTGCAAAAAGCCCCAAATCATTTAATATTTGTCATATTTAGTGTATACCATGTGAAGTCTTTAGTGTCTGCACAAGAATTCTGTGTTCCAGAAGGTTTTTAAGTGAAATAATATCAACTGTGGGTCCTGATGGCAATTTTTAGAGCATTGTATTTTTAATTGTATTTTAATTGTTTTATCTTGTTATCTTTTTTGTATTTAAATAGTTGTAAGCTACCCAGAGACCTTTGGGTAGTGTGGGCAGCATATAAATAAAATCTGCTGGGCTGATTCAGAAGTCTGTGTAGCCCAGCTGGGTGGTAGCAGATAACTTTAATGACTAGTAGTTTTATAGCCTTATCTTTCCTTACTTTGTCACACCCTGTTTTAAAGCTGCCTGAGTCACCTAGTGGCTGTCACCTTGCCATGTGATAGCAAATTTCTACATGGTGTGATGTAACACTTCCTTTTGTCTGTTTTGAGCCCCTACCTTTCAGCTTCCTGGGATGACCTCAGTTTCTAAGAAAGAAAAGCTGTTTATTACTTTTCACACATCATGTTTCTCTATCAAGATTTAAAAGCTTCCAGTGTTTTCCTCCTCGTACGAGAATGTTGTAGCATGGTAATGCTATGCATGTAAATAGGTTGACAAGATGTGTATAGAGTCACATGGATGTGCAAGCATGCATACTCTGTCTCCCCCACACAGAGACATTAATTTTTAAAAATTGCTGACCACCCAAGGATGCCAAGAGACTTTTCCAATAAATGCCCTCAAATTTTTTGTAAGACTTCTTTGGGGAGAGTGATTGTTGGAGCAGGTGTAGGAATAGAGGGGTAGCCCACCCTTGGCTTAAGTCAATCACATAACAGTGGTTTCCAACCTTGGGTAACCCAGGTGTTCTTGGACTACATCTCCCAGAAATCCTGGCCAGCACAGCTAGTGGATGAAGGCTTCTGGGAGTTTTAGACCAAGAACATCTGGGTATTCACGGTTGGGAACCATTGACTTAGAAGAATGCTTCTTGGTTTTAAATGATTTTGTGGTCCTGGGCATGGTGCTGCTAAGGCAGAAAGTATGAATGATATTTGCTTTCTCTTTGTTCAGGTGGAGACCTCTGATGTTGGGACACAATGTTCTGCAGGCTGGCCAATTTGTAACCCTCCAGATGTTGGATGGTCAGCTCCTATGTGTTCTACCATAGTCAGAAGCAGACTGTGCTGCAGTCCAGCAACATCTGGATGGCCATTTGTTTCCCACCCCTCTTATAATGGGATCTTGTTTTGCATGGATTTCAGTGAAATATATGGGACTTGGAGAAGAACATTGTCAAGGTTTTCACATCCCTCATTTGCTTTGGTGGGGCTGTTGGATTAGAGCTTTCCCAAGGTTTTCCCCCCCTCTGAAGTAGAAGCCTCTCATTCTGTCATCCTAAGTAGCATCGATAAAGGATGCTCACTTTGTTTGCCACCTAATTGTGTCTTTACAGAAAGTTTCCTTTGCTTCAGAACAAGATAGCTTAGCTGGAAGGATAGGTATCTTCATTGTGCACGTAGAGCTAACTGTGCATATGCCTTGTGGGTATGGTTTTTGCAAGCAAAGTCTGGCTGACTTTTGTCAGAGAGACCCACAATAACCACTTAGCTGTAATAATGAGAGGAAAGTCCAAATGTGCTGATAGCTGGGGGAAGTCTTCCAGCCCCATACCCTCCCAACAACCTAGTCCATTCTGACTAAGCAGTGCTGCCAGGGAGTTACAAAAAAACCCACATGGTTAAGCGCTTTAACTCTTGTTCCAACCCTGCAAGGTATGAATACCAAAAATACCCACAAAACACAAAGGTTCCCAGTAGCTCCTTGAGGCAAACCTGGTTTTAGTACTACTAATGCTGTTACTTCAAAATGGCCAAGCAGTTGCAAAATCTTATATTTTATTACAGGTAGTGCAAAAGTCAAAAGAACAAAACTTGAAAAGCAGTTTCAGCAGTTACAGAATAGTCAAGGAACTGTGGAGTTTTGACTAAGCAGTCAAAAGGTTTGAGGCGAAAATAATTCCAGAACAATCCCCCCCACAAAGGAAGGAAAGTAAGTAAGAAAGCTAACCTAAGCTAATATTTGTATCCTGGCATAGCTTCAGCATAGTCATAGAGTATATGAAGAATGCAAGTAGCAGAGCAGCAGATAAGCATAGTGTTATCCTAAGAAGTAACTAGGCCAAAGTAACTTCAGTACCTATTTTAATACCTCAAATTCCAGTTTCCAGGCACTTCAGAAAATCTGCTTATCAGATGTTGAGTTTGAAACCATTCTGCTAATTAACTCTTTGAGCACAATTTGGCCTTGAAGGTTCCTTTCTCACAGAGATAAGGTACAGGTGTTTGCTGCCTTCAAGTTTACAGTGGTCACTTCTTCCTATCAGTCAGCTTGTTGAAGGCATGAATTATAAGGCCTGATTTTCTAGATGAGGAACAGAAACTGAGTCCTTGTTTCCCAACATCTTGACAACCTTAACTAAGTAACTTCAGTATATGATTATTCTCTTGCTGGTGTTTATCATTCAATTTTCTGTCTCCTGTGCATGTCTGACATTGAACAAGGAACAGCAGGTAAGAAACATTTTTCTTTTAAAGTCACTAATATTCAGGCTTATAGTCTTCTTATTCTTACATACAATTATGATTGTTATTAATGCACATCCTGATTTCCACATGGATGTGCCCAGCCTGGCTTACAACAACAAAAGGACAGTAATACAAGAGAGGGAAACTCTGAAAATTTTTCTATGGAATGTGAATTTTTCAATATTGTACTGAATACAGTAATTCCTACATTTCCCCTATTGATTGTGCTTTGCATGAAAAAAGAAATGGGCAAGTCTTAAACAAGTCCACATTAAAGTATAATAAACAATCTACGCTCTACCAGCACCATAGGCATTAACCAGAATCCTGTTGATGATCTCATAAGGTTTGTGTAATTTTGACCAATTGATGAAGTTCCATGCCTTCCCTCAGTCATGTGCCTGGTCATATACTGTACCTGCTGGAGCAACCAAGATGCATCCTGATGCCTCTTCAGTTTAGTTGCAATGAGTTTGTGAGAAGTTACACAAATTTTACCAACAGGATTCTGGCCACTGAGTGTAGGGACTGTATTTATATTGCCCTTCCCCTTTGCTATAGATGTGCCAGCCAGTTCTGGATTGCTCTGAGGGCTGTAGAGACATACAGTAGCTCCCCCAGGAAACCTTATGCTTTCGGTTTCTACAGGGTTTGGCTTGCTCTTCCTGTTGATCTATCACAGATCTTATAGACAGAATAATACTGTAGGTATTCATGAGGAAGTTTTACAAGCATCCGGCACAGTTCTGTGCTTGAATGTATAAGAAAGGTACTAGAGCAGGAGTAGGAGAGACCCTTCCCCGGATGTTTAAACTTAAACTTGCAGAAGTTGCAATCAGTGAGGTTGGTGACAAAGGGCCATGACTTCCTAGGGGAATCACACCGGGCCAGGTCTTGAAGTTACTTCCTATGACACAGGATAAAATCTTAGGGATTCTAACAGTTTTAGATTTAAAAAGAATCCAGCAGATATCCCCCTCTGTAAAGAAAAGCATTTACCATATTTTTTCATGTATAAGACTATACTTTTGTCTAAAATCTTTAGAATAAAAATTGATGGTCATTTTATACACGGAAGTAAGCTGAGGAGAGAACAAAAACAAGTGGAAGGGAAAGCAGGGATCAAAGCGCTCCTGCAGGGCTGTGATCCCTTTCCCACTACATTTGCTAAGTCCCACTTTATTCCAAATTCATTTTAGAAAAGTGGGTGGGCGTCTTATACATGGAAAAATATGGTACTTTATTCCAAATTCTTCATTGCTAGCAATGAAGGGGAAGAAACTATTAAGATTTAAGATATTAACAGCTTAAAATGTTCCTACAAACTTCGGAACATCCTTCCAAACCTTCCCATCCTTGTAACACTCGTGTTCTGCTCTCTTAACCTCTGAAGAATAAGCAGCCAGTGCTGTAGGGCAATTAACCTACAGTGTTAGGCTGTTGAGATTTTTGGGCTGAATGAGTAGGAAGTGAACCTCCAGAGCAGGTTTGTTCTTTCAAGGTTTAGCCAGTCCAGCCAGTGGATGAGGAATGGGCACACTTGCCTGCTCTTGCCCCAGAGCTGAGAAGATTTCTTACATTGTGCACAAGGGCAGTGAGATCCAAGTTATATATACGCACCTCACACTTTTTAAACTCATTTTTTCTTATGCTAAAATGCATAATAAAGAACAAAACCACTTAAAGGGATACCCAACAGAGATAAAAGTTTAGAAGTAATTAAAAATAGTATCAGTGCCGAAGCATTTATGAAAGACTCCTAAATGTGTAAAAATCCATCTGAATGACATGGTTGGTTTTATGCCATGGTCATCTATAAAATATGATTGGAAATCATTATTCCAAAGTCTGTATTGACACCTGGACACCACAGAAACTGCAAGTCATCAAAAACACTCTGTGATGTGGTGTCTCCAAACTGACATCAGCCATCAGGTCAGCTTTGATTTTGCACAGTTAGTAAAATATCTGGACAAATCTCCAAAGGATTAGTCACCTTTGTTAATGCTATAAAAGGGAACTTGGGTTGAGAGAGAGAGAGAGAGAGAGTAAAATCATCTGCATAAAGTATCATTTTAAATTCAAAAGTATTATGTCCAAAGCTATGGAAATGTACTCTCGGTGTAACCCTCATGGACCCATAATCTGTTGACTAAAAATGTTGATTGTCATTAAAAGAATTGTTGGTCTATACTGTCTCAAGAAGAAGAATGTAATAATTTAGAATTCGTTCTGTGCCTAAATATTTTTGATTCTTCTCCTTTTCAATTTATTACCTTTGACGGGATTGGGATACTTAATTAATTTGGGTGGATCCAACTCTGAGTGAAAATATTATATGAAACTGCTCAAATTAAAAAAAAGTGACTTGGGAAAGATGGAAAATGTAACAATCCAATGATGTAGGAAGAAGTTAACAGTCCTCCTTGTGGAAGAAAAATACTTTCATGTTTGAAACTTTAGGGATTGAGATAATGGAAACCATGTGAGAAGATGTGTGGAGGAATTGTATTGATTGTATCAGGAAAAATAATAAATCACTATTCAAAAGAAAAATTGACATCCACCAAAATGGATAATCATAAAATACAAGGCAAATCCATGTAGAGCCATGAATGACATGCTAGAAAGAAAGAAAGAAAGCTCCCTTCATGAAAGTACAGGCAGAAAGAAAGAAAGAAAGAAAGAAAGAAAGAAAGAAAGAAAAAGTTCCCTTCATGAAAGTACAGGAAAACCTGATAATCAGATAAAATAGGCAGTGTGGATAGTTAGTGACAATGCAGTCAAGTTGCTTACGTAACTATACTAGGATACAGATGAGGAAGTGTGTACAAAACTGCTATGTAACTTCCTTTTGTCCTGCAGAGCAAGCTACTCGAAGTAGGATGGAACAACACAAACAATGCAAAGCAGGATATTGAGAGGAACCTGAATTGCTGTGGATTCCAGAATGTCAGTGAAGAGGATACATGCCTTGCTGTAAGTACATAGGTTGATTTGTGTGTCCGGTTCCAAAGCCTGTTGTAGGCAAACAAGACAGTTAGTCACATACTTGGTTCGTGTACCTTTGTCTCTTGTTGAAAGAACGAATCAGTTGCTTTCACTTTTATTGACATACTTCCTTTATTAGTGTTTCGTACATAGCCACCTTTAGATTTATTCCGGGTCTGGGTTTCGGCTTTAATTGTGACATTTAACTATTGAATCAGTAGGAGTGCTTCACTCTTCTGACATAGGTACCACTAGACATAGGTACCACTATTATTAAATTTTGGGAGGAAAGATAGTTATCTATGAGGTGCATCCCTATCTCACTATTTCCAGGAGTCAAATTAGATGATACACAGATAAGCACATATTTACAAGCTGAAAATAATTAGTATCCTTAAATCTACGACTTACAAATAAACCCTGTTTTTACTTGCAGACAGAACCTAGAAGTAACTGTTTCCCTGTAATGTAACTATATATAACTTGGGGTTTTTTTGGGTAATGAGTAGTATAGCTAGTGTTTATAATGTTACCGTTCAGGTATAGTGAGAAATACCTAAGCCATTTAAGTGAAATGAATAGCCTCAGGTTATTTCAAAGGGCATTTTTAGAATCTACGACTTACAAATAAACCCTGTTTTTGCTTGCAGACAGAGCCTAGAAGTAACGGTTTCCCTATAATGTAACTACATATAACTTGTTTTTTTTTGGGGGGGGGGGAAATGAGTAGTATAGCTAGCGTTTATAATGTTCCCTTTCAGGTATAGTGAGAAATACCTAAGCCATTTAAGTGAAATGAATAGCCTCAGGTTATTTCAAAGGGCATTTTTAGAGGCCCTTTGATAGGAATTCTTCATGCTTTACACCATTGTCATATCATTCCTCAGTGACAAGGAAGTTCATATTTGTTTTTGTCTTTTGCAGTGTCAGAATTAGCCACTAGATGGAACCAGAGGCTGTTTCCCTCTCTTTTCCTTGTGATAAATACACTGCCGTCTAGTAGTGAGCAACACAAGGACTTAGTTGCAGTATCAGAGCGAGGATGACAGCAACCTAATGGTTGCTTTTAAAAAGTAATGTTCAAGGCTCTGTCTTCCAGTGACCAGCCAGAAAAGAAAAGAAGCTAATTTTCAAGCTACAGGAGTAGAAGAAAGAGCATGTTGTGGAAAATTGATGTCTTTCAACACAATATCTTGAATGTTTATATTTTTTTAACTATGCTTAATTACAGGAATGTTCTAATACACGGTCATGTCATCCTTGTGCACCAAAAATAAAAGAATATTCTGGAATGGTGTTGAGAGTTGTAGGAGGCATTGGGCTTTTCTTTAGTTTCACAGAGGTAAGAACAATCTTTCTTTTGTGACCAGTTGAGGATTTCTGGTAGGAAGGTTCTGCAAGAATAACATGTCTGTGGTAAAAGAATTGTATGTTTTTCTTTTGAACAAGCACTGTTGAGGATGTTTGTAGAAATAAAAATCCTCTGTATCACTTAGGTGGAGGACTAGAGACAGATACTTAGCTAGTTTACCAGGTAATTACTAGATAAGGATGCATTTGCCAGTTACTTTGAGCCTCACTGAAATCAGATGGACTTATTTCTGAGTAGACATATACATGGTTATGCCACTCTTTTAAGGTGTGGCAATATTTTGCCAACATGCTACCACAGACTAAGACAGTTACCTTTTTAGAAACAGCCATGTAAATAGAAATCTGAGAGCTTGATAATTCATGCACTCCAATTTCACATTGATGTAATTTCATGATAGAAGAATCTTTCGTCAATAATCTAAGTTGAGAAAAGCAAGCAGAAGGAAGATGGATGGATAAGACAAAATGGAGAAAAAGAGTAATAGCAACTTAAAATATCACCAGTCTATGATCAATCTAAATATAATGCTACCAGAAACAGTTCATCACCGCAGTTCTCCTGCTCTTGCTTGTGACTATTCCTGTGGGAGAATTTGAAAGAATTGTGCAGAAAATAACATCTGCTTATTAATGCCCTGGAGGAATTGGTTTTCTTTTCTCCACACCTCTTGGTTATTCTTTCTCACTGTCTCCATTTCTTCCGCACCATCCAACTCCTGAGCCCACCAATACATTGCACTTTCTCTCCAGTTAGATGAGAAAAAGGAATTATTTGCTGCTAATTTTCCAGTGTAACACCATTCTCTCTGAGCTTGAGGAAGACATTTTTGGGGAAGGGAGAGGAACAAGTTAATGTCCAAATCCAGTGTTTTCTGTAGAATGGTGTTCCTGAATCAAAGTGGTATGGAAGGTGTTTGCAGAAGTCCAAAGTTCTAATGCAAGTTTTTCTATGAGATGTTGATCCTTTTGCGTATGTCCCTCTCTCTTATGGAGTTACAATCCAAGTCTGTGAAATATAATAATTATATTTTCTTGAAAGTAGCCCATAGTTAAAAGGGAAAAGGAGTATGTTTCAAGAAGGTAGCAATAACCTCCAAAATACTACTAGAGTAGCAGTAGATATTGTTGGACAACAGTCCTTAAGTATGGTTGTTGTAGGTTTTTTGGGCTGAAGCCTTCGAGAATAAATCCTTAAGTACCATATTTTTCCATGTATAACACTATATTTTTGTCTAAAATCTTTAGACTAAAATTGAGGGTCGTCTTATACATGGAAGTAAGCAGAGGAGAGAACAAAAACAACTGGAGGGGAAAGCAGGGATCAAAACGATTCTGCAGTGCTTTTATCCCTTTCCCCTACACTTGCTAGACCCCACTTAGATTTCTTAATATTGGATTAGAAAAGTGGGTGGTCGTCTTATACATGGAAAATATGGTTGTTGTTGTTGTTGTTAATAATAATAATAATAAATACATTGTGAAAGGCATTAACATTGTTTCCAACAGCAAAGGAGAGGGCCACCAAAGAGAAGGTCTTGCTCTTATTTCACTCTATATACAGATGGGGCTTACGCCTTTTATGAGTTAAATTAGGAAAAGTGAAAGGCTTGCTCTTCAGTTTATTACTCAAGCAGATAGCTCATTGGATAGCTCAGTGAGTTAGAACACGTGGCTGGATGGGTCAAGAGTTTGATTCCCCCCCCTCTGCTTTATAAGAGAAGGACCCTTCCATGTGGTCTTGGACAAGCTGCACCGTCCCAGAGCACTGCCAAAAGAAGGAAATAATAAACCATTTCTGAATACTCTGTACCTGTGAAATCCTGCACAGTATGTAATTATTATTGGTTAAGAAGGCTACCGGGTTGGAATTATGTCACTATATGCACACACCATCTTTCAAATATATCTGAACATGTGATTAGCTAGCAGTACTCCATGGATTATAGAGTGTTTGGGTGAATGTGGTGATGGCACATAATATTTTACGAATTTAGCAAATTTATTCTTTCTAACTCACTTCTCTCCCCCCCCCCTTTTCTCCTTATTTCCAGATCTTAGGGGTATGGCTCACTTACAGATACAGGAATCAGAAGGACCCTCGTGCGAATCCGAGTGCATTTCTTTGACCTGGAAACATTCTCTAAGGACTGAATATTTGATTTTCTGTGTTTTTAAAAATGAATTGTCCACTGATCAGCTGCTTTCTACATTACCCGAGAGTTAATGCACTTGAGAAAAGATGACACACTTACAGTTGCCTCTTCTCTGTGTTGCTGTTGTTTTTCTCCATAGATCAATGGGATGTGGAATGTTTTGGCCCATGATATAACTGAACAGAAACTGAATCCCATAGGAACGAAGATAGTTCTACTGAGCTATTGCAGTCTTGCATAGTTATTTTGATGTTCTGTTCATTAGTTGCCTTTGATTTGAAAGCCAAAAAATGTATTTCACCTGCATACATCTTTGACTCCTTCGCATTCCTTTCTTGAAAGAACAGTTGGTTGCCTGGAATGCCTGATGTAGAATATTTCAGTGTATTGTGCTGCTGCTTCACACTTTTGTATTTGTAAGGATGTAAAAAGGACCTAGGATTTACTGGAGAGATAGAAACTCATTTTCCATCTCTTCTTCTCTTTTCCTTCCTTGTATTTTCTGGAAACCAGAAGATGTTGAAATCTTACATGGTTGGTATTGTCCTTCCGTTTCAAAATTTGCCATGTTAACCTAGCAATCCCATTCTCGAGCCCAGTTGGCATTTTAGTGCATGAATGGCTTGTGTGTAAGCTTTCTCTTTTAACTTCAGCCTTGTTCACACATGAATGTATAGGATTGGGATGGCTAGGTATTCACCAGGACTGTGAAAGGTCCCAGAAGATTTACTGTTGACTTTAGAATGAAGATTATAGCTGTGCATGAAGAATAGTAGCAAGTCATGAGGGTCATGAATTTTTCACTGTATGCCTAAATAATAAATTCATCTTGTTGTAATGAATGGTGTAATTTTAAAACTGGCAGAAGAAAACTGTTTAGTTAGTGGTCACAGTAAGAAAATGCTCTTGAGACCTTGAGATCGTTTTTCTCGAATAGTTTAAATTTAAATCATGTAGTAAGTTAACTGTCATACTGATACTGGTCTCTAGATTTAACTAATTATGTTCTTTGGTTTAAAATATTTGATTATAATTGTGAACTAGAACAGTATAAATTAGATTTTTGTGGTGCTTTGCTAGTTTATTTAAAAAAATAAAACTTCTGATGAACTGTGTTTAAAATTTAAGCAGATCTATGTTACACAGAAGGGATTTCATGAAAAGCAACTGTAAAGAGATGCAGCTTCCGTCTTAAAAATGCATGAGTGTGTGTGGATTCTGTAACAATTAGGATGCAGGAGTCAGCGCTATAGTTGAAAAGGGGAACTGAGGGAACTCTTTAAGTGGGTACAGACAGCCTACATAAAGCAAGAACAAAGAAAAAGTAACAAGAGAAGAATAATGTGTTGGGTAAGGAAGGGCAGTGCAAATTTTTATCATAAGGAATGGGTTGTGTAGAAATTTCCTTGAGGAAGTTGTGCTTCCAGTGCAAAGCCTGTGTATGTTTTCTCAGAATGCACTCGATTGAATTCAATGGGGCTTACTCCAAGGGACATGCAGATAAGAATTGCAAGGTCATGCTTTAATCCTATACCCAGTGGTCTGGGAAGGTCTCAACAAATTAATTAGATTTTCATTCTGTCTTCATCCTCAAAGTATCAATAACAATTAATACCCTAATAATAATTTATGTAGTTAGCAAGTGTAATTTTTAAAAAATATCATGATGACTGGATTAGTCACAATCCCAATTCAGATACACTGATGCTGAACAGGATGCTTTCCCTTTGACAACTCAAGCTTTTCTTTCCCTGTGCTATTACTGTAGCTGGAAGAAAAAAAAGACAGAATAAACAGCTTCCAGAAAAAGTAGTCATCTTTAGCTAGGAACCCTTCTCCCTCACAAATTCTCCTGCCAGCCCAGTCAGGTGCTGTTAGTGGAATTTTGGGGGAGGGTTTGCTCATCCCTGTACCTTAGGCATAAAAATATCTTGAGGCAGTTTGGCCTTCTCAATCACCTCAAACTCGGTTTAGGGCTGTGATTATCTGAAGCAGCCCTATCTCTGTGTGTTTGATGGCCAGAGAAAAAGATGACTGAGGGGATTCAGCTGTGGAATGGCTTCTCAGCCTGGTGTCCATGTCCTTGGTAAGGTAATGTATGACATTAATACTTAAACAGCTGTAATGCTGATACTTAATAGATGACCATACTTTGGTTACAAGTTACTCATTTTCATGTTGTTTTGGGAAACATAAAGAGCTTTGGTTACAAGTTACTCATTTTCATGTTCTTTTGGGAAACATAAACAGACAAACCAAACATTAAGTATTCAACAGATTTTATGTAAATTAAGACCTTCTGTGAGGCAATGGAGATGTTGCTGCCTCATGGAAAACACTACTTCACCTAAATAGTTATATGCTTGCCTTTCCTCCTTAGAGCAGGAGTGGTTTCTAGGTTTGAATGGAATCAGTAGTAGTCTTACCTCAGATGTGAGTGGCAACTCTGTTTTCTTGCTAGTGGGTAGATAAGGCTCTTAATTTTAATCTTTCATTAAGAAAATAGAACCAAAGTCCTTCCTGATTCAGCATTGAATTCCCAAGGTCCCTTTGAAGCCCCCTAGAAGCATGTTCAGTCACTCAGATGTACAGTATGTTCTTCAGCAACTGCTTGTGTTCAACATTGAGTATTCAGTCTTCTGTCAGATGCTGAAATCCTGTCGTGCTGCTATGCAAAATGAATTATTTTAACAGTCTCACCCCCTAATATATGAGCATTAGCAGGTCAAGCAGTTATTTTACTTTAGAAAATGCATAGAAAGGAATTGCCAAGGAATACAGGCCTTTTATGGCTGAAAAAGGTCTCTGCTGAACAATCAGATTCTTATTTTCCAGTATTTTTTCATGCAAAAAAACACTTCTATTGGCTACAATGTTCTCACCATTTTTTTGAAATTGATTGGCATTGGAACTCCAGGATTTCAGAGGGGAATTATTCCCAGCCAGACTTGGAGATGTCAGGGAGTAAATCTGTTAACATGCTTAGGAAAATATCACAGCTTGATTCTTTCCCCGAGTTGCTTTTGTTAACAGGAAATCTTACACAAGATCACAAAAAGAAGACAGCCTGCAGTTTTATAAACACCATAATGCAGATTTATTTTTGAATCTTGATTTATACAAAGGAGCACACAGTGGTTTTTTTTTCTTATTTTATAAAAGCAATCAATACTTCATATGACACAGTTACAAAGGAATATAAAACAAATCTATTAAGGATCATGCACAGTATGTGTCATTGCTATGCACATCCAGAATTAACCTCCATACTCCCTTTCATGAGAGGAAGGGGGTTGTTTGTTTAAGGTTAATTAGAGGTGGAAGATCTGACATTGTGTCTTTTCTTCTTTCTTCACAATTCAGTCTTCAGCAGTTTCAGAGCTTTCTGCATATTTGAGTACACTGGAAATAGACACACAGGAGTCAATTGTTTTTATACCAAACAAAGTATGCAGACATCATTTTTACAGGTGTAATTTTTTTTAAGTTACTGGCCTGTATTGTTTAAATCAGTGGTTCCTAACCTTGGGTTACTCAGGTGTTTTTGGACTGCAACTCCCAGAAGCCTTCACCACCAGCTGTACTGGCTGGGGTTTCTGGGAGTTGCAGTTCAAAAACACCTGAGTAACCCAAGGTTAAGAACCGCTGGTTAAATCAAGGGTGAGAAGCTTATGACTCATGGACCCAATGGGGTATAAAAGGGATGTGTCAGGACTTGGCTGGGGTAAAATGAAACACCTCAAGATTGGCCAGTCTCCACTCCTCAGCTCATCAGCTAACGAACAGAACCCAGTCTTCATCTCCTTCATTGTGACATGATACGCGATTTTGACCAGCCTTCAAGCTGAAAAAATGCCTTAATGGAAGAAAACTTCAAATGAAAAAGTCTAAATTTACAGTATGTACAGGTGCAGAAGCCATTCATGTTTATAAGTGTTTATACAGAACAAAACCAAATTTATAATTCAATCAAATTTAATTTTGCTGAATTTATGGTTTTTAAGGATACTTCTCATGTTAAGCTTCTAGATTAAGAGGGTTCATTCCCTGCAGTATAAGCTATTAAGGTGGCACCAGTCTCTATGTTGTGGCTTGCCTCAGCTACAAAAGTTTGCTATAGCAACGTCTCAGTAGTGGCATGAACACAAATCACATAATTTAGTGCAATCAGTGTATGTCATATTGGTACATGCAGAGATATCGCAACATGCATGGATGATGATGAGGAGATGATATACATATGATCACCACATAGTAAGCCTCAGCCCCTGCATTAACACGAGTGGAATAACATTATTTTGAGTGCAGTTCCCTTTACCCGTATGGAACATGTGAACAGGATTCTGGCTTTTGGATTTAGGTTCATCTGTGTTTTGGAAGAGAAGGAACTACAAGGAAAAACTTCCTTTTCAGCTCCATACGTTCTAATAAGTGGCCAAAATTTAAGGGTAACAAATTGTCTAATTTCAGTGGAATAGTATCATGAAGTAGGCCACTGTTAACGTCCATGGAGATGGAGCCAAGGCAGCTTACGGCTTTTCTCACTCTGCAAGTGACTTCATAGCTCAGGCCAGATTTGGACTGGGAATTTGCAGCTCATATCCTAAAAAATTAATCATACAAGTATACTCAGACATAATCCACATTAACTTCAGTGGGATTTGGAGCCATGCTATATGTTCAAAAGTGTGTCGTCAGAAGACGGAAATCGTTAAACCTTGAAAATATACATCTCCCATCATTTGCTCATTAGCTTGTCTTGCTTTGTAATTAATCATTGGGAGATAAGCAGAGGCTTCATTTATGAGCATGAGGGCTCAGTCACTAAGGCCTGCCTGAGTCACATCTCTGAGACACACTTTAATTGATTTCACATACAGTTACAAGCAGCCTGTTGTATGGGCACAGGGTGGTAGCAATTGAGCTAGCATGTAAACACCAGGTGCCACCACTGCTCACTTCAGCCTTCCTTCATATTTTGTTATTTTTAAATTGATTGCCAGGGAACAGTCTTATTTTTATAAGTAAAATATGCTTATCTACAATGGAATGGTACTAATTATCCAGTGAATGTGTTCAGCATCAAAGTAGACGCAGACACCCATTTCATTATTGCAGTAATCAATGACATTGCAGTCATATTAAATGACTTTAAAATATGGAGTTGCACATGCTCAGAGTTGAGTTTTATAAAATCAAGGTTGGCGGACAGTTTTTGGTTCGGTTTTGATCAAAGATGCCAGGAATATAGAAGTGTAAGAGGGTTAGGAAAGGAGAGAGCTGTTAATTTGTACTTTATAGATGAAGTAATACACATGGTCATTTAACAGGGGACATAAGTCCATCTAGTCTAAAATTGCATAATACGGTAAAGAAAAGTTTGTCTAAATTAATTATAGTTTTGTTTGTTACAGAATTCAGATGACAGGTTCCCATTGTAGTTGTACAACTGTAGAGCGCTGTCCTTGTGTAGAATAATGGATCTCCCTTTGTTCTACACTAAATGCTGTGAACAGAAGTACAGAATACTTACATAATGCAATATCTGAAGGCTCATAAGCATAGAGACGATTGGAGTATCTTCCAGTAATGTCTGCTCTAACAGTCAGTGAAGGATCTGGAGAGAAGAACAGGAGAAAATGATTGATTTCCATTAGCAAGTCGTAGATATTAGGCCATTTCTTCTTCATGGGCCTACAACCGACAGACGCTTATGCCCAGTACAACTAGTGAGGTTGGAAATTGCCACAGATTTCCTGTTTTTTGCTGCAGCAAAGTAACACACTATTCAATATTCTTATACACAGTGAGTTTTATCCGGAATTTCTGCCCACACATGGCAGGACACTTGGTTTTGGGTGATCCTTCTTTCCACTGGAAACATCATCTACTACAAAGGCGGTGGCTGAGGGTCCTAGAGTCATATAGGGCAGTAAAGTCTATGCTATGAAGGACTATTTTAGATATGGGTGCCCATTCTTGTGCAACTGAAAGTATTTTCCATTAGAATAAAGTTGCCACTAGATACAACCTAGCAATTTCCTCCCGCTGCCACACATTTAATGTCCCACAGCTGTCCTTTCAGATGCTAAGAGATTGTAGGTGTTTAATGGATAAGCAATGTATCATTATGAAATCACTAAAGATGCATTAATTAGCCCCTGAGAGCATTTGTGAAATGAATAACAATAAGATAGCAAAAACTCCGTAGACATGGGAGGAAAAAATAATTTTTATGGTATGTCAAAAGGGATGCTATGAGATCCATCCTGTAAATTCCAACGACAGTTACATAACTAGACACTGCTTTTACTAAAGTACTAATGGAGCCTGCAGTACAGGAGATTCATGTTTTGCCCGCAGCAGCCACATTCCAGACTTCTAATATTGCAAAACTCAGATTTCCCATATTGGAGATGAAACACAGAGAAGAGACATACTGATCTCTGTTGTGATCATTATCTGAGCAAACAAGAAGAACTAATAATAAAGCTCATTCCACATTCCAAAGAACAAAAACCCTTGCATTCTCATTCTTTACTAAACAGAATGGTAAACGTAGGTCCTTCCAAAACTGTTGAATTACAAACCCTGTCAAGCGTTAACTATTGACCAGGTCAGGGCAGATGGCAACCAGACTCCACTGGCCAGGCTCTGTGCTAGGTTTATTTTGAGGATGCGTCATCTTTCAGTAAACAACAGCATAAAGAAACGACATAGGTTCATGGCCCACCTTATCTCCTCACCAGACAATGTGAACAAAATGTTTATCATACCATAAGTTTAAATAATTTTATTTGATACCGTTTTTCACAATCTGGAAGCATCTCTCAGTCCTTTACTCACCTACAAAGAGGATTCTGGGAACGTACTGTCCATCTGGCGAGAGATGTTTGTCTGTGGTTTCATACTAGAATTATTAGAAGAAGAAAATCCTAGATGTGCATCATTTGAATCAGAAGGGGGGAAATTCCCCAACAAAGCATGGCCAATTACCACAAAACGGTGGAAGTTTCAGTGAAATAGAACCATGCCAGAGCTATACCAGAATTTATATATACAACAGGTATAATAATAATTATAACATGATTTTTATAGAAAGGGCACTTCACCTGAAGGAACAGTACACATGAAAGATGTGCACTGTTATTCAGGAGCAGCACACAGATGTCTGTCATGTTATGAAAACACGCTGTGGGGAATTGCTCTGTGTATCAGTTTCCCAGCAAAGGAAATGTTTTGATAGACTAAACAACTACATGTTTTTGTAAAACAATACTGTATACACCTGCCTCTTCCACACAAAAGTTATTATAGTTCGGGAATATGCCCTGTGTAAGGAATCTCTAGGGAGCACAATATAGATTTACAGGATCACATGCAGCCAAAACAATACAAGTATTACACAATAAAGCACTTGATCAAATGTAATTTGAAAACTTACAACAAGATTGAGGAGAACAAACTTCTCGGCCAATTTCTGTATTTCTTTGTGTTCAGCAAATGCTTTCTTCAGTGCTAGAATGTGATACACATTGGAATATAAATAATATAAATATTGAACGGTGAATACACGTTTGCCAGTACATGCAAATCAAACAAAATAAATGGCTCTAGGTGTTTAGTGTCTAATGCTGATCATTGTAAAGTAGAAGAGACAAGATACATAGTGGGAATCTCTAGAATACTCGTGAGAAAAAGATGAACTCAAGGCTATCGCAGCGCATTTCATTTTTGTAACTTGCATTCTTTTGCCTAGCAAAGGAAACTGCAATAAAACCAAAGGCTAAAGCAGTGAACTCTGTTTCCTGACCTACTTTTATGTTTTATGCCTGCAAATCTTCCAATGGTATGCTGATTTGAATGATGCATGAATTAAGGTTTCTCTTCCAGGAAGAGAAGTGCTAGATGTTAGATTTGCCTGAAAATTGTACCCTCTGAGGTTACAAATCTGCCTTGTGCTTTCAAGACTTGTCTGTCCTATAGTGGAGGCAAGGTAAATACTATATACAACTATCAGACTGGTAGCTCTGCCTTGTGCTTTCAAGACTTGTCTGTCGTATAGTGAAGGCAAGGTAAATACTATATACTACTATCAGACTGGTAGCACTGAGGTGCAGGCTGAAATCCAGTGGTAAGTCACAACTAGAGTAGGCCTAATGAAGAAATGGAGATCTGGTGCATCAACTCCTCCATAGGTGCCATCAGTTCAATGAGCCTACTCTAGCTACGATTTATCACTGGATTTCAACCATGTGACCCCCTGAAGTGGGAAATTTGACTTTTTTCATATTTTGGTCTTCAGTTCTCAGAAGCCTGAAACATCAAAGCCAGTGGAAAGACTATAGGAGATGTAGTCCAAAACATCTAGAGCAGTAGTTCCCAACCTTGGGTACCCAGATGTTCTTGGACTACAACTCTCAGAAATCCTGGCTAGCACAGCCAGTGCTGAAGGCTTCTGGGAGTTTTACTTCAAGAATATCTGGGGACACAAGGTTGAGGACCACTGATCTAGAAGGACACATTTCCCTCTCTCCTAATTCTTTGTATCTCTGTTATATAACCAGAATTACTATCCATCCTGCCCTAAGTGCAGTAGATATGGCTGTACTTTTGAGGTGCATATACCTTTGGAACAAGGATTATGCTAAAAACAAACTAAATGGTTCATCCTGGAAAAGCGTCCTCTCCTGCCTGAGATAGCAGCTTGTTGTGGGATGGAGAGGATGGCAGTAAGCTAAACAAAAAACATGTGAGACCTAAAGGGAATCCTGAAAAATGAGAGGATTACAGTACAGTTTTGTGTATATCTTTTCAGCATAGCTCCCTTTTCTGAGTTTAGTTTGGGTCACTCACTCACTGGATAATTGGGTACAGGTCTACCACTTTGTCAGCACATAAGCATCTACAAACATGAAATTTGTTCACAACGATGGATGTACAGAGGTAGGGGGCTCCACCTCATCCCTGAACAGGATTAATGTTATGATCTGCTTAGCAGAAGTCATCAGCCCACATTTCTGATGGTGACCATTTTATTTTATTTCATCATTGCTGATGGAAATCCACTCTAGATCACCATAGGGAGCTAAGCCAGGCTGGGCTTGGTTAGTGCTTAGACGGGAGACCAGCAAGGAACAGCAAAGCTTTCTGGGGGCTCAATATAGAGCTGAAGATAATAAATGAATTTATGATCATTTACAAAGAGCAAGAACCACTAATGTGAAGACTCAAGGGCACAGAGGGTCAAGAAAAGAACACTGGAATGTTACCTTGGCTATGAGGGCAGTCCTCTAAATGGTGGATGACCATTATAGGTTTATTGCTGAAAGTAAAAGAAACTATTAGAAATTTCAAGTAGATTATAGGAAAAGCAACACTTAGAATGGGCATAACACAAATGTTTAAGATATAAGGCTGCTGTAAAGTTGTTGTTATTGTTTGCAACACCTCTGATTAATTAAAGCCCTCCATGATGAAATAGAATAATTTCACACAATATGATACAAACCACTTGAATAGATGTGCAACTTACTTGGTCCTGGCTTTAAAGAGTGCTTCTTCATAAGTCTGAGTCCAGATGAGTTGATCACCCCAACCTGTAGTAAAAGGGCAAATAGAATGTGGTCTACATAGGTTGTGGTTGAAGGAGGCTTACATTTCATCACAAAGGCAATTCTTTTTTTTTTTTGCGAAGTATTTTTTTACAAAACATGATTTATTTATTTTTTTAATTAACAGCAAGCATATGGTAGCATTCTGGCCTTAATCTGAACTTCTTTTGGACTTGATTTTTAGATAACTGACAGCCAGTAAGGGATCAGGTTCAAACTCATTGGGAGTAAGCACTATTAAATTCAATAGGGTTAGTTAATTTAATGGCATTATTCCTAGGTAAGTGGAGATTGACTTATATTCAAGCAGCACCTTTCCCTAATACAAAAGAACAACACGTATAGTAAGTACATATTGAGCAACATAGGGAGCTCCCGTAATGATGCTGGAGCATCCCTCCTGATGGTGGCATTATTCTTCAGCAATAATTGTGAGTGCATTGCAAGTTTCTCAAAGTATTGTACAACCTTACATGGGTTTTCGGTCACCAAAACAACCTGTTGTAAATAAGGTCATTTTCTTCTCATTTTATTGACTAGGGAACTGATCTGGGAGACCATAAGAGCAGATTACAGAAATCAGACTAATTCCAGCCAAGAACACTCTTTGTTTTCAAAGAGCTACTGGAAGTTACTTAAGAAAGTATGAGGCCTCAAAGAGCAGTTGAATTCATTTGAGGCTAAACTTAGTTCAGAAATGGCCCTGAAATCACTTCCTTTTATGGGCAGGATGCTAGACAATACCTGAACTATGCACAGAGCTCAGCTAGTATGCCTTTACCTCTGGAGAGAGTCTGTGGTAATTTGGGACGGGTCTCTTTTACTTCTTTTGTGTCCTTTTTTTCATTTTTGGTAGTGGTATCTTTAGCCAAAGTATATGAGATGGCGATCAGAAGAAGGAACACCGATGCGAAGTTCTTCTCCATGGTTAAAGCTGAGGGGAGCAGCAGGAGTAAGATTATTCAGCTGACAGAACTAAAAATGAGCAGAGAAGGAATAACAGTGGCAATAAATCTTCATCTCCGTTTGATTAAATCACAAGTGTTGCAGCAAAATGCATTATTTCTACCTTGACTGCAGCATGAAAAAAGAAGCCACATACAATTCACTCCAATTACATTCACTGGGTCTTCCTTCCTAAGACTGCAGCATGAAAAAAGAAGCCACATACAATTCACTCCAATTACATTCACTGGCTCTTCCTTCCTAATTATGTATAGGATTTCAATCTTATAGTAAGCCCCATGAGCTCATTGAACTGACACCTCTATAAATGTTTGCAGGATCATTGAAGTGCTAAGGCTTCTGGAAGTTGTAGTTCAACAACATCTGGCAGCCCAAGGTTGAGGACCACTGATGTATAGGATTTCAATCTTATAATAAGCCCCATGAGCTCATTGAACTGACACCTCTATAAATGTTTGCAGGATCATTATGTTGAAGTGCTTGACCATCTTTCTGTGAAAGCCTGATAATTAATAAAATGATCAAAAGATACCTTGAGAAGAGGAACTTGGCACTGTGGTTAATGCTCTGAGCAAGGCAGGATTTACATTCCTATTACAAATCAATTAAAGCATTGTTTACACCCTTAAAATGGTTATTGGCAGTGAGGATGGGAATCGAATGACCCCAAAGGCTATTTTGTGACCCTTACAGTTCCTTTTCATTTTATTTTATAAATCATCCCTCCTGTAAGCATCCTGGCTAGGGGATTCTGGGTGTTGTAATCCAAAACAAACAAGCGGACAAACCTGAGCACATTCTTGTGTAAGGGATCCCTAAGACGCAGGGAGCACCTTCTAGCTTGACATACCCTTTGCTGTGATTTCTGGTACTCTTGACAGCAAATGGCTTCTTTTTCCTTTACTTAATACAGATTTTCAGGTGTGTAAGGACCTGGCAGGCATTGATTTGCGATTGTTGAATAAGAATAAGAAATAACTTCATATAACAAGCCTGAATATGCTCAAGGAGAATCAGTAACGAAACTGAAGTATCACCATTTACACCCAAATGGCATGTGACAACAGCATGAGGAGGCATCAAACTGGGGACAAAGAATGTGTGGCCTTCCAGATGTTGTTGGGTTATGGTTGTCATCAGTCCCAGGTGAAGGGCGATAGGAGTTGCAGCCCAACAATCTGTGAAAGGCCTCAAATGGCTAACAATGGCTTTAAATGCAGGCATGGTGTCCAGTTTAAAAACTAGGAAGTGAATGCATTTTACTGAATACTGAAGCCTTCCTCTTACCTCCTTCCCATCTCAGCAGCTCCTGTTCTTCCTGGTTGCTTTTCTACCAGGTGAACAGAGCCCAGTTAATGGAACTGCTTCTGAGAACAGGATCTGCACAGTGTAAGTCACAGAGGGAATAGGTTTCACAGATCCTTCGGATGGTTAAGTTTGTCCCCATATTTTGTATGTCACCATGACAGATTTGTATTTGATAAAAGACTGACCATACCATTAGAGAGAATTAAGTGACAACCTCAGGCATCAGAGGTGGGAGCTAATTATAGGACAGGGCACTGCTAATTATTTACTTTGTTATCATTGGCCAAAATTCTGTTACTTGGCTTAGTAAATCACACTAGAATTAGCCCGTTGAGTAAATGAGAATTTGGTGAGTTCATTCTTCTATAAATTTGATTGATTCAAATTGGTCTACTCTAATTTCAACTTACTTTAATATTGTAAGTCAGAGTTAGAGTAGGCTCATCTGAATCAATGAATTTATTTTATGGAGGTGTTGACTTACTAAATCCCCATCAATTTAATGGGCTTGTTCTAAAATGATTTACTACACTAAGCAACAGTACTTGGGCCAAATTTTCATGTGGCAGAAAAAGGTGTCATTTGCTGCAATAGCTCAGACAGCAAAATATCACACACCGTGATGAGGTGGGTGTGGGTCATCTCATACAGCAAAATGTTTTGGGCTAGCCCTGATTTAAAAGGTTTGCCTTCATCAAATTTAGTTCAGCTTTGGCGGCTCCAAAGAACTGTAGCATTTCAGAGCAAGGGAAATTTGCTTTAAACATAAAGCCAAACTGGTAAAATGGGACATATATTACACTCCACACCAGCAACTGCTGTTTTCAAGCAACTCCCCGTATTTAATGTTTTCAGTCAGCTCTTCTATGGCAATTTGGGCGTGGATTGTTACAAAGTGTACATTCTATGGCCTCAGTCATAAGTATATTGGACTGGATCCAGACTTAGCCATATTAGGTTTGACTGACAGTAGACCCATGGGAAATCTATTAAAGTTTAAGTATCACAATGCCCATTGACTTCAAAGGGTTGTATCCAATGTGTGTACATCCACTGACAGTATCATTCTGCCATTCGAATGGATGCTCAGGGCAAGGAGTGGATTCAGTTCTTCATCTCCACTACAGTCTGCTGCTTCCTCCTAATCTGATCTGAAAGGTTGAGGACCATGCAGAAAAGACTGGGTGGAGGGTTGTATGCGGGGGGGCGCGGAAGGGGAGAGGGGAAAACCTAGTTTCATATGCAGAACTCCACTTGCACAATGTTGGGTTTAATCCATCGGATTTACTCTAGGCTGGACCAAATCTGGATCCAAATTTACAGAAGTCTGACTGAGATACGGAAGAGTCAACTTTTCAGATGATTTGTAATTCATTTTTCTTTAAGCTAAAACATTCTGCATATTTGCTTCTTGATAAGGTACAGATACTTATAAATACAAAGGGGAAATCTTTAAAAGGCAGGACAATGTTTTACAAAAAGGACAGTATGTCCAATCTTTGACACCATAGAGGAATTTAAATAGGCTAAAATTTTCATCTAGGCAATATAGATGTTACATCACAGCCCATAATAATGGCCACATGCAGTATCAAGTATGAGACAAATGATAAGAAACTGAGTAGGTTTAAAAAAAGTGCAAGAAGGGTAGAAAAAGCAATTTGACCCTCCAAGCAGTGAGTTCCTCTATGATTTTTCAAAAAGGTGAGAAGATTCAGTACCCTTTTTGGTGACAGTGTAATAAGGAAATCACTTCATTACACAAGTAAATGTAGCTTTGGAACAAAGCAAAAGAACATCTACCTGCCAAACAGGAAATCAAGATAAATCAAAGATTGTTGGCATATCAAATATAAAAATCAGTAAATGACAAACGCAACAAAAAGGTGCCACATATATTTGTGAAGCTGGGAAAAAAATCCACACAACCATTCTTTCATCCTAAGTAAACTCAACAGAACTAACAGGGGAAAAATAGGATTGTCTGCAATTCTCTTCCCTATGCTTTTCTGATGCACTTTCGCTGCTTCCTTCTTCTCTCACCTCTCTTTGTTACTGCCCTTTAGTATGTAACCTGAGTCACAAGCTCTCAATTTCCTGAACAGGTGCTTTACCAAGCAAGAGCTGATACGCTTACCTTTTCTGCCCTCCTTCTTCTTAGAGGAACTGCAGAAATGCTCTTTCAGTGTGAAGAAGGAAGGTGTGGAAGTGCCTATTTATGCACCTGGGCACACCTCATCCCCACCCACAAGCTTGGCATTTGAATACTTCTGCTATAGGGACAAACTTCTCCTTTTTAAAAAATGGGGAAAAATGTACCCAAGCTAAAATACTTTTCAAATAAACAAAGCCATCATCTGCTATCTCCCTAGTCATTCTAAAACTTTTCAAATATATACATATATATATAGAGAGAGAATTTATGGATATCTGTGAGAGTTTGAGAAGCAAATTTTAAAATGTGGGCAATGAGCCAAATCCAGGTAAGCATAAATCAAGACTTCTGATTTGCCCTAAGGCTGATTTGTCCTTGTGTGATTGGGTAAATGCTTCAGCTTAAGGCACAAACATACAGAAAAGGGCAGCATCTTATATTGTGCAGGTTCACTTCCAAGTAAGTTCAATAGGCTTTTGTCCCATATGATGATACTAGATGTCTGATGGAAGACCCGTAATAACACTATTATTACGTCTCCTAGGAGGGAGACATGCATCTGTGGGAGGCAGAGGAATGCCAGAGGGTAGGATAAGATTGAAGAGTGGAATGCCTTGGAGTTGAAGTGATAACACAGGGATCCCCGCTGCCACCATGCTATAGTGCACATCCACATCCCCCTCCCCCAATTGTTTAGGAAACTAATTCTTAACCTTGGGTTACTCAGGAGTTTTGGACTGCAACTCCCAGAAGCCTTCACCACCAACTGTGCTGGCTGGGGTTTCTGGGAGTTGCAGTTCAAAAACATCCGAGCAACAAAGGTTAAGAACCACTGGTTTAGGAAACAGAGTGGTGCTGTGCAAAACTGGGTACTCCTAAGCTACAAAAAACAGGTGGGTAAAAGACACATGTAAATTCACAGCCCCTCCCTCTGCAGTCCCCCAGAAATTCAGTGTAGAGCCCACGTGTCCAAAGTCATGTGTTGTATGAAAGTCAACACCCTATGATGAAGTGCTCAGTCTGCTGAAGACTCCAATGTCTGGTGATTGCTTGTCTAGTGTTACTTTTTTTAAAAAAACAAACCTTAGATCTCTGTAAAGAAGACACTCATATTTTTCAAAAACAGGTACTGCATTAGTAGTAGTTATGAACTTCATTGTACAGGTCAGTGAGCCCCCCCCCCCCCGGTCCCCTGAGCATTACTTCACAAAATTTGGAGAAGCGTGCCATCTGAAGGGTAGCTGTGTTCCAATTCATTTATTAGTCTCAGGGGTGCAGGTCAGGCCAGCTGATAACTGACATTGTCAAAGAACTAATTTCTCAAGCACACCTACCACCATCTGTATGCATAGTTGTAAATGAGAGATCAACTGGTTTATTTGTAAATAAACAAAAATATTACAAAATGTCAGTTAGCCTCCAGTAATCCATAAGAAACTGAAGGTGGGATCACACGGGATTGCAATTTGGACCACTTGTGAAGCAGTCTGATACTATCTACAGTGGTGCCTCGCTAGACAGTTACCCAGCATGACAGTTTTTTCGCTAGACATTGACTTTTTGCGATCGCTATAGCGATTCGCAAAACAGTGATTCCTATGGGGGAATTTCGCTGGACAATGTTTGGTCCCTGCTTCGCAAACTGATTTTTGCTAGACGACAATTTTGACAGCTCCCTCCACACTCGCAAAACGGGTGTTTTCAGGATTTAAGCTTCGCAAGACAGCTATTTAAACAGCTGATCAACGTTTCGCAAACTGGCTTTCCTATGGTCGATTTTCGCTAGACAACGACGATTCTTCCCCATTGGAACGCATTAAACAGGTTTCAATGCATTCCAATGGGAAAATGCTTTTCGCTAGACGATGATTTCACTAAACAGCAATTTCAGTGGAACGGATTATTGTCTAGCGAGGCACCACTGTATTTCTTTCAGTCCTGTAATATATGGAAATGTGCCCTCGCCCAACCCCAGTCTGAGCCCAAACTGGACCATTTTGGTTCAGCTGTAGAGCTTCTATTTTTGGGGGCCAGCCTGGAGCAATTCTTTGGCAGATGGTCGATTTGCTTAAAGGGAGATCACTCCCATTAAAGTGACCCTTTCTGATGCGATCAGGCATGCACATTTGCAGCCAACTGATTGCACCCTCAGTGTTGATCAACACTGCACCCCTAGATCTTTTCACCACTTGAACAAGCATGCTAAGTGTAGCAGCACCGCTTCTAGTTGGAAATGTCACCCCTCAAACTTTCCTAGAACTAAACAACCCCAGATCAACGCTTTGCACAGTGTGGTGCAATTTGCTGCATCAATGCAAAGTGCTTTTGTCCTTTAACTGTGGGTTTTTACATAGCTTGCAAGAGAAAAGCATATAAATAATCCCTGCAATTTGAATTCACATAGGTTTAGTTTTCAAAAATGTTTTTTAATAGGGAAGCAAAATTATGCCTTTCTCTACTTACTGTATACAAGTTACATTTTTCAAAATGTAAACAATGCCTCTTCAGGGGCATTTGGCTGAAATCCTGTGGCTCAGTGTTGTTGTTGTTTAGTTGTTAAGTTGTGTCTGACTCTTCATGACCCCATGGACCAGGGCACGCCAGGCCCTCCTGTCTCCTACTGCCTCCCGGAGTTTGGTCAAATTCATGTTGGTAGCTTCGATGACACTGTCCAAACATCTCGTCCTCTGTCATCCCCTTCTCCTCTTGCCTTCACACTTTCCCAACATCAGGGTCTTTTCCAGGGAGATTTCTCTTCTCATGAGATGGCCAAAGTATTGAAGCCTCACCTTCAATAATTTGGCCATCTCATGAGAAGAGAGATGGCCAGAATGGATAGGTTTGATCTCTTTGCAGTCTAGGGGACTCTCATGAGAAAAGAGATGGCCAGAATGGATAGGTTTGTTCTCCTTGCAGTCCAGGGGACTCTCAAGAGCCTCCTCCAGCACCACAATTCAAAAGCAGCAATTCTTCGGCAGTCAGCCTTCTTTATGGTCCAGCTCTCACTTCCATACATCGCTACTGGAAAAACCATAGCTTTGATTATGCGGACCTTTGTCAGCAAGGTGATGTCTCTGCTTTTTAAGATGCTGTGCTTTTTTTTTCAGTATAGTAAATTGCAACTAGAATAGGCTGGTTGAATCAATGGAAGTTTAGGAGAAGCTAAATCACCAAACCTCCATTATTTCCTCAGGATAGAAGCAGATCTCTGTGTTTTAAGGGATGGAGACCTTTTTTTTTTTCAGTCCCAATGTGCATTGCTAGCTATAGTCTGCAGCTGCACAGTTATTAGTGACTCATTCAGCCTGAAATTCCCAACCTGGGACTGAACTTCACAATAGACTTCAAGGCTACAACAACATTTAGCCAAATTTTTGAAGACATCCCTTCTTCAGTTGTCCTCCATCCCCACCCCCACCCCCACTCCCTAAGCTTTCAAAAATAATATATAGCCTAATTAAGTGTACTGGAGAACCTGGAAGTTTACACATTCTGCAGAATTTCAGATAGTCCACATTGTTCCCCTGTGGATTAATGTGTATTTTAATGTGATTTTACTGAAATACATCACAATTCTTATGAGAGCAAACAGGAATAAACTCATAGTTCAGAAATAAATTTACTTTGTTACTATAATTTGAATAGAACAGAGACGGGGAAAGTTACTTTTGCTGGCAGTAATATTCTGGGAGTTATAGTCCCAAAAATATATTTTCTCCTATCTGGAAGCATGATACATCCAACACCACAGTGAACACCAAAGGCCAGTGAGCATGCTGAAATGGCTACCTTGGTCCTAATTTATATTTGGGGTTGTTCTGAATAGGTAAAAGGCAAGTAAAGGAAGATACAATAGCATTGTATAAAGCAAACAGGAAGAAGCTCCCCCCGCCAGCCCCCAGTATAAGATCCCAAGGTCATCCACTAAGGCAAGGAATTCAGAACACATAAAAGGAAACACTGTGTCATGGCTCATAAATTGTGGAATGTGGTGCTGGCCACCAACCTGTATGGCTCTAAAAGGGGGTGGATCAATTCAAAAAACAGGTCTATCAAAGGCTACTAATAGGGACACTTGTTCAGACCCATTGTATCTCTTATATTCTTAACTGTTGATACAGAAGGCTCCTGCTCCCATTTCTCATAGGGTTTTGTTTTTTGTTGTTATTATTTTCATATCTCCAATAGATAGCCTGGGCTACTCTTCAAATAAAGAATGTCTCTAAATGAGATATTCAACCAAATAATGTAAGATAGAGGTATTCTCGTTACTAATAGTGGAAGATCAGATCCACACATCTACATTGGCCCTTTTGATGCAGTCTAAATCAGGTTCCTTGATGTTGTGGGGAGTGGCAATATGCCATTTGGCCTGATCCTCATGTCCCAATAGCATATTGACCTCAAGTGAATCTACAGCTCCTTTTCCCCTATACTCAACCATTGCTGATACACTGAATTACTTAGATAATTTTTTAAAAAAATAATAATATTTGCCTTGTGCGTAAATTGATTTGATTCGGTACAACCATAATGACTCAACCATTGCTGATACACTGAATTACTGAGATAATTTTTTTAAAAAAAATTTTGCCTTGTGTGTAAATTGATTTGATTCGGTACAACAATAATGGTCTAGCAGAGAGAGAGAGAGAGGGAGAGAGAGAGAGAGAGAGAGAGAGATCACTTCCCCTGACCCTCTATAGATTTCATAATACTGTAAATTGAAACTGGAAGGAGCATTGGCAGCTTTGACAACTACCAGGTTTTATTTTAGGCCATGCCCAGTGATCATACAAACTGGGAATGTACTAAAGTAGAGCACACCTATCCAGCTCCCAAAAGTAGGTACCTCTGTCATGAGTTCAAAAAGTTGTGGATTGGGGTGCTCTGGGGGCAAATTGGTCCACTCTAATTATTGCATTGTGTGTTTGCTGGGGGGAAAAGAGTGAATTAACCCAACCTCACAATGCACTAAACAGTGGGCTAAATGTCCATCTGAATGGCCTTGGCTTGTGTGGTGCTTGCTTTTGCTAAACAGAAGAAACCTGAAAATTAGTTC